AGCACCTTTTGTTTACTCAGGTAATATTATGTCCTTCTGGGGTCTTTGATGGAGTTGAAGACTAGATAGTTATAATTACAATTTTCCTTAGTTATGATAAAAGATAAATTAATATAAAACGTTAGACTCACAAAGATAGTTGATGGAGTATTTTAATTTTTCCAGATACAAATATAGCAAATATTGTAACCTATTCTTGCTTGACAACTGTTTTGTTATATGTAATTTTACTTGTTAAAGTTAAAATATTCCGTTTTCATTAGACAGAAAGTGGAAAATTATGTGGGATGTCTTCTGTATGCTATGAATGTGTTGCTCTCATTGGTTGATAAATAAAGATAATTTGGCATATGGCAAGGCAGGATAGAACCAGGTGGGAAATCCAAGCAGAGATACAGGAGAAGTGTAGAGTCAGAGAGACTCCACCAGCTGCCCAAAGAGCAATATGCCAGAGCACTACCAGTAAACTACGGACCTCTAGGCAATATACAGATTAATAGAAATGGGTTATTTAAATGTAAGAGTTACCTAGTAATAAGCCTGAGTCATTGATCAAACATTTGTAATTAATATTAAGTCTCTGAGTGATTATGTAGAAATGGTGGAGGGGCCATGTGGGACAGAGAAGCCTCTGGTTCAAGAGACAAACAGACACACACACACACACACACACACACACACACACACAGAGAGAGAGAGAGAGAGAGAGAGAGAAGAATATTTAGATATCTATCCATTGCAGAGAGGTTTTTTGGTTAGGATGGATACTGTACCCAGTCCCCCTTCTCTGTGCTAGGATTTTTGTCTGGTTTGAACCTGTGTAGGTCTTGTGCCTGCTGTCACAATCTCTGTGAGTTCATGTGTGCATCAGCCCCATTGTGTCTGAAAGATTGTTTCCTTTATTCCTCATTACTTCCGGCTCTTACTACTTTCTCACTCTTCTTCCACATAAAACCTGAGCCTTGAAGGGAGGGTTTTAATAAACACATCCTATTTATGGCTGAGTGCTGCAAGTCTCCCACTCTCTGGACATTGGCCACTTGTGGGTCTCTGTGTTATTTCCCATCTACTGCAACAAGTTTCCCTCACAAGGATTGAGTGATGAACTGAGGCAGAGCCAAGTGTGGCAGCCAGATAAGGAAATAAACAAACTTAAATAACAAAAACACATTAAATCTCCTCTTTACAGGATGAGTATTAACAATTGGGGTAATTTTAACGTTCTAACTTCGTGTGACCACTAGACCTGTCACGCCATCATTTCTACTCTTACTGTAAAAGACGTGTGTGGAGATCTTCATGCCATGGTCTATGTGTGGAGGCTGAAGGGAACTTAGTGGAATTGACTTTTCCTTTTACCTTTATTTGGGTTCTGGGGATTGAATTCACATTGTCAGGCTTGTACCCTCCAACAGAAAACACCTTCCCTAGCTGAGTCTCCCTGCCAGCCCAGTGCAGTATTATACTCTGACCTACTTCGTTCCCTGCCCCCTCCTGTGCTTCCTGCTTCATTCCTGCTGGTCACTTCCTTCCGCTGATGTCCTACTCCCTGCTTTCACGTTGTGGGGATCCCAAGTCGAAATTAAACCTATAAGTGATATAAACTATGAGAACAGGTGCCATGGATTATAACAGCCTATAAAGAGCAATGACACATAATCATTGCTCAAGGTAGTACAGATTTGAAAACATACACTGCACACAACATGAATGCAAATTCATGTCTACATTTGAGTATTAATAGGTATTTTATGGTTTCTGGCACAGACTGAATGCCCTAGTTAGCATTTCTATTGCTGCAATGAAACACCATGGCCATACAGCAAGTTGTGAAGGAAAGAGCTTATTCAGCTCAAACTTCCACATTGCTGTTCCCACTGAGGGGAGTTGGGACAGAAACTCACAGTAGGGTAGGATCCTGGGGCAGGAGCTGAGAAAAGCCATGGAAGGGAACTGCTGCCCGGCCTCCTCCCCCTGCTTTCTTAGAGATCCCAGGACCTCAGCCCAGGGAAGGAACCACCCACCTACCATGGGCTGGGCCCTTCTCCACTGACCACTAATTGAGATGCTGTCTTATAGCTGGTTCTCATCGAGGCATTTCCTCAAGAGAGGCTCCTTTCTGATGACTCTAGTTGTGGCAAGTTGACAGGAAAACAGACAGTGCACTGGTGAAGCTACTGATTGGCCCAAATGCAAAGCTGAGGAACTTGTGGCTGAGCTGGGTTTAATCTGTCTCATTTGCATTGAAGAGTGAACTCTGACTCTCATACACCAGAAAACCACTAAGTGGGCAATATTCACTTCTTATGTGAGGCTTAAGGTGCCCTGACTGTGACCAGAGACATTCAGTTTAAGATCCCTGAGCTTTAGATTCCTTGTCTCTAGAGCACAAAGCCTGGTGTTCATATGCATGATTTCACATGTATTGGAGATAGTAATGGTTGACTGGTTTTTAGATGGACTCGGCCACCTCCCTCCCATCAACTTTCAGAAACTGGATTTGTGGGCTGTGACTTACAGTTCACGGATGCAGAACACAGATATGACAAACCTATCATCCTTTGCTGATGAAATTGAAGGACAAGGGCTGTGGGGCTGCCCAGTGGTTAAGAGCATTGCCTGCTCTTCTAGGCGACTCGGATTTCATCCTCAGCACCCACATGGCAACTCACATTTGTCTGTAGCTCCAGTCCCAGGGAGTCCATCTTGCTCTGATTGTGGGTCTATGGTCGTTCACAGATTCACCAGTCTGACTCGTTTTGGTTTTAGCAAATTAGAGGCTTTTATTTAAAAAGACGGGCAGGAGGGAACCAGAGAAAGTTCCTGGGTTAGCTGGGTTTTATTGTTAGTCCAAAGTTTATAAAGGTAAAACCCATAAACCTATGATTTTGGAGAGCCAGATTAACTCATTCTATCTGGGTGTGGACAAGGCTTGATTTTCTAACAAATATTCAGCAGCTGTCTCACTATCCAAGCAAGCAAGCGTTTCATACAAAAGTGGAACTTGGAGTTAGACTGTTGAATGTTGTCACTGTAACTTGTATGAATAGCTGAGGCAGTGACATATTCTGCAACAATCTGCAGATTTGAAGACTTGTGCAAATACTCCAGGAAGTTGCCTATCCCAGGCTAGGGTACAGGCTACATTCAAGTACGAGTAACTTCCTTATGGCTTTTACAAGCTAAAAACAATTTATTTTTGTTTACAAGCTTGTACATTAAATTATCCTCTAAACATATGTTCATCATCACACTTTTCTTGCCCTCGAAGGTACCAGGCAAGAACACAGTGCACAGATCTCCATGCAGACAAATACTCAAACACATAGAAAATAAAATTTAAAAAGGAAATTAAAGGACAAAAAAAAAATAAGCTAAAAGAGTCAGACATGGTGGCCCACACCTTTATTCCCAGCATTGGGGAGGCAAAGGAAGGCTGATGTCTGTCAGTTTGAGGTCAGTCTGGTCCACAAAGTGAATTCCAGGAGCTATGTAGCGAGACCCTATCTCAAACAAACCTAACCAAAAGAAACAAAAACACAACAAGCTAGAAGAGCAAACACTTTAGTTTTTGTTTGGAGCCGAAGTTTCCAGGGAGGCTGATGAGAGGCTTAGAGCAACCTCTCTGTGTGCTCCTGCTTCAACCTCTGAACTGCTGGTTAGAGGGATGAGCCCAACCCCACCCCCGTTGGGTGTTTGCAGCCATGGAGATCAGACCCAAGACCTACGGCATGCTAGGTCAGTCTCTGTGAAGCCAGCTAGCCCTCAGCACCACCACTGCTCTACACTCATTAATGCTCTCAGTGACTTCAGATAGGAAAGAAGTGTCCAATGACCTTTTATGAGAAACAATTACTTTGACTCATGGGCATTTTCAAGGCACACTCAAGTTCCAGAGTTCTGATACAGTTGCCTATACTTTGAATTTAAGTTCTGAAACTTTAGCCTTCCACAAGTAGGTTGCATTATTCTTATAGCTTTAAATCTGTTTTTTTTTTTTTACTCAAATTCTTAATAGTTTTAAAATAGAAAATTCATGGTAAAGTAACTAGCCAAACAGTAGGTGTAGTAGTTTAAGTGTTTGAATTTTTTGGTTAGAGGGACAAAACTGAAAAATGGGAACTTTTTAAAAAACTTTTTCTTTCACAATGAAAAAGGGAAGTAAAAACCAAATTATAAAGCATGCAGGGGACCCACTCCTAGATGCCAGGGTAAAGGGCAGGTCCCATGTGCATATTGCTAACAGTGCTAACAGCATCCTGGAAGAAAGTAGAAAAACAAAGTAACTATGACCTGTCAGAACATACAGACAATATTGTTACTTCTGGTAGCACAGGAGCATTGCCAAGGAAGCAATGGGAAGATGTCCATGTTCTTTTAGACAGGCTCCTCGGCAGGCCTGTCTCGATCCCATGAAGTGTCTGCTCACATAGTTCCCTCACCTTAGAATTCAGCCACTGCAAATGACTCCTGTCCTATTGGAGGAGGACACACCAGGGGTCGGGCAGCTCTTTCAGAAGGAATGAGCAAAGGAGTTCCGCCTTCCTCCTTTGGCTCCCTGGATTGTTACAGATGTTCTTTCTGCCAGCCTGGTCCCACAACGACATCAGACATCAGCCCCAAATGAACACACAGACTCTATATTAATTATGAAATTGTTGGCCATTGCCTTAGGCTTCTTTTTTTATTAAAGATTTATTTATTTATTATGTATACAGTGTTCTGCCTGCATGTATGCCTGCAGGCCAGAAAGAGGGCACTAGATCTCATTATAGATGGTTGTGAGCCACCATGTGGTTGCTGGGAATTGAATTCAGTACTTCTGGAAGAGCAGCCAGTGCTCTGAACCTCTGAGCCATCTCTCCAGCCCATGTCTTGGGCTTCTTATTGGCTAGCTCTGCCTTAATTATTAATCCATAACTACGTATTTCTACATGGTCTTATCTTACTGGAGAACACCTCACTTGTGTCCTATCTTCCCGGGATCACAGGACAACTCCTCTCTGCCTACACTTCCCAGAATCCTCCTCATCTCCTAGACCCACCTATCTTGCTGCCCTACTGGCCACAGTGTTTTATTCATCAACCATTAAGAGAAACATATGTACAGAAGAAAACCCCATCACTGGATCCCAGTGATCTGCCTCCCTTGATGACTAAGAAGATGAAAAGTTCTCTGGTCCCCATTCATTCCTCTGCATCCCTGCACTTGGTGCTTCTGCAAGAGCCCTGGGACTCAGTTAGCTCAAGAGTAAGAGGACCCTGTGGCGTACCTATCTGTGCCTCTTTGAAGTGCCAATACATTTCTAACCCTTTAGACCCAGAGTTGATAATTTTCCTAAGAGGGACTATGAGCACAACAGGGACCTATTCCCTTTAGGATACTTAAGGATTTAAAACAAACCATCTCCTCTTTCAGACTTACATCTCCATGTATGATGGGATTGTTGACAGGTATAGCTGAAACAGAGCAACTCTCCCCCATGACTGGAGCAAGCTGGTTATGACTTGTTTGAACCTGTTGAATTCCTTCATTTCAGGACTTGGTGGCATGAAGAGACTGTTTCTGAGTCTGATCTTAGAGAGATGTTATTAGAAATGTCATCCTTTGACAATGCTAGCAGAGAAAGCCAATGGGCTCTACACTCAGTTCAAACAGCCAAAGGCCTTTGAGAATATTACACAGGAGCCTGCAATAACATTAGGTCCCCAAGCCAGCTTCCTCTGAGATAGGACATTTTTTGTGTTCTTGCCTTATGCCTGTGGTCTGCCTTTGTTTCTTCCTTACCAAGCCTGGACACTCCTGCTTTTGTTTCTACTTGTTGGTTGTAAATGCACAGATGCCACCACTTCCTGAGTACTTTACATGTCTGGTTCAAATGTTCTTCTGGTATGGATAATGTTAAAAAATATATTGCCATGTGCTGTTTCATCTCTGAGATGGGATTTGGCCTGCCTACCTCAGACCCAACCATTTTTGTCTCAAAGTTTCTTTCAAAGCTCCATGACTCAATCTGACTAATGAGAAGAATTAATACTTTAAAACATGGCTACTGTGTTAGGAGAATTAAAAACAAAAATGAAGGAACTTCAAACAAAACACTAGCTGCCACTAATTATTTACTGCTAAAACATAGTATCAACTGTTCACTAAACTGATTTGGAGTTAGTAGAGGTTACATACTGTGGTAGTTTGAATGTTATTGGCCCCCATAAGCTCATTGTGAGTGGCACTATCAGGAAGTGTGGCATTTTTGGAGTAGCTATGGCCTTGTTGGAAATAGTGTGTCACTGTGGGTGGGCTTTGATGTCTCATATATGCTCCAGACACAGTATCTCAGTTAACTTCTTGTTGCCTGCCAATCAAGATGCAGGACTCTCAGATCCAGTTCCATGTCTGTCTGTTCCCCATCATGTTCCACCATGATGACAATGGACTAAATCTCTGAAACTATAATCCCCCCTATTAAATGTCTTTCTTTATAAGAGTTACTATGGTCATGGTGTCTCTTCACAGCAATAATAACCCTAACTAAGACATATACCAACACATCTCTGCCAATGGATGTGATCAGTAGGATGCTGACACCTTCTCCAGACTGTGGACAGATTCTGATGCATTTCAGGGTCAGGTTATTCAGGTTTGTCTTCACTTGCTGTTTGTGACTTTTCCTGGGAAGACACAAAATAAACATCCAGTCACCCTAGGCAGGGCACCAACAACAGAGCAAAGCTTCGTGAACAAATGAGATTACTAAGATAACTTATTGAAGCCTGAGGAATGAATGACTTAAATGAGCATGGACAAGTCAAAGGCAGATGTACCACATCAGCATGGGGGATATCTCACAAAAGCTACAGCCCCTAATTTCTCTGAGTTACCTGCAGCCAGTTCATCAGATCAGTGTCCTCCAGACATCTTAACTGCTCAACCTCCAATCCTTAGTGTCTGATACTGCCTATATCACTTCGGGAGAAAGGGACCTGGTGAATCTTGTAAGTTTCAGGGACTTCTTGACACTTCTGAGTTTACTTCCTGTATACTAATGAGCCTCCCTCCAGGATGGAAATGTTTCAATTCAGAGGATATTGACACAAAACACTCCAACTTTCCTACAGCGCTTACATTCTTTTAAGCCACCTCTTCCAGAACATTCCCTGAGGGTTAGATGGATGGCATAGATGTCTGATTATTTTCCTCCATCTGTGATTGAGCATTGGATCAGAATGTCACAATAGTCACTTAGCCTCAGGAGTTCAGGTGGTTATGAGGCTTTGTGGTACACCACTGAAAAGAGGAAGTTTCCTCCCATGGCGGATTGTAGTTGACAGAAGCAGTGACCTATGGGCATAAGCACAAATATGCAGGAGACAGTTTGATAAGCTCACACCCACTCAAAAAACCAATAGCAGTCGTTTGCCCAATGAGGCCTGGGACTCCTCACCCACGGGTTTTACCCCTGGCTTACAGAAGACACGGATTCCTTCCTGTGAAGTGGCCCTAACGTCCAACCACAAAGTTGTTGGCTGTATTCGCGGTAGACATGCCACCTTGGCACGAGCAGGCATCTTGCCTGGCACAAAGCCAAGCAGCCGGCATGGAGCCTCTGGGAACTATCCAGCTCCATCATAGTTCTACTCCTTTGTGTCCTGCAACCAAAGCATGTGTCATCTTCAGCAATTGGGTTCTACCATATAGTTCTGGTGTCCATGTTTTAGCAGAGAAAACAGCTTCTACTGTTTGGGGAGCCCTCTGGGACCTTCCTGACCATAGTTCTGGGATTGAACATTTTATGCAGCCACATTAAGTCATAAAATGTGTGCCTTTTAAGTTAAATACCTTAATTTTTCTTAATTGTACTTCTAGGTCTTTTTAAGTATCTCTTAAGACATTCAATGGTGAGCAGTATATAAAGAAATCTTTTAACATAGTGTAGACAGGATTCCTGAAGTCTCACCATCATCCATTCCAAATAAATGCATTTGATCTCAGGCAATCAAGGGGATACTAAAAAATCTTGCAAAGTCCAACAGTTAAAGATCTCACTGCTTTCATCAATTGTTCCATCATAAGGGCCATGATGGGTACAGCAGCATGGATGCCAGCAACTACTTCATTGTACTCATTAAGCTAGTATGGCTCTCCAGGAGCTATCTGGCTGTGCAGGCTGTTGGCAGACTTCAAGCTAGGAAAATAATCTATACATTTTCTAAGTAGTCGATGGTTTCTGTACATAGCCCCCAAGCAGTCTGCACTGTTGGTACCCACCATACTAGGAGGAGACAACTTTTCAGGTTCTTCAGACACACTCGACTCCTTTTACACTTTGTACCATCAGGGAAAAGAGTGCTGTGCATGGTGTGTCCCAGCAAGACAGCCACCCCTAGGATCTTCCTTGGTCACAGAGCGGAATACCTTATAATTTCCATGACACACTGACAATTTCAACTAAAAGCAAACATTCAACTTACACAAACTGATGTTCTCTCACAAATTTCTCACATATAAAAAGTTGAAGGTTTTACTCAGTGTTCACATATTAATTAATGGCTCACTGGCTTGTGCCACACGCCTACAATCTTAGCATTCAGCAAGATGGAGTGTTGTAGCCTGCATAGAATAGGCTTTCTGACAATATCCTGTTGTTGAACTCTCTTCCTATTTAACTTTATTTACCCCACTTAGAGCAATGCCTCTGTCTGTCCAAGGAATGCTTCAGGAAAGGTGTTTCCTCCCTTCCCAAGCAATGCAGCTTAGTGTTTTTGAGGGCAATATGCAAGCAGCCTCCATCTGGTCATGAGACCTTCTGTGTCCTGAGCACATCTGGTGATAGTGATGAGAAATACCAAGTGAGTTTATCAGTGTTTTGTGACCATGCTTTGACTCCGAGCTATCCAGAATAAGAGAGACACAGAATGTCAGTTAAGACGCTCTTGAGCAACATAGCCTTGGTTCTATTGAATCTCAAATTCAACTTCAGTTGTCTGGCACCAGTCACTGATGGACATCAATACGTGGTACTTGAAACAGGGCTATGACAGATGCCTATGGACTGTATTGAGGAACACTAGAGAGGTGTATGGTTTTTTTTAATCTTTTAAGGATCCTACTCTAGGATCCAGGGTACCCAGGTGTCAAACCAAAAGCAAAGGGAGAGATCTTGTGCACTCATTGCTCACAATGATAACAACATGAGGGGTTAAAGTGTTACAGAAATAATATGCATTCCCATTGAGGAGGAATCTCTCTACATTAGATGTTAAAAAGGAAAATCTCTTTAATGGTGTTTGTCTGGCTGGGCTAATGCCCAAGAAGAGTTGGACACGAACATAACAATTTACTAGTGTACACACACTTTAGAATTACGTATTCCACAAACACTGTCATCCTCAAATCTGTTTTGGTTCCTGGTCCCAGGTCACACTTGAATCTAAACAGAGACAGGAGACTATAAGTAGGCAGCAGATTTACACAGCATGGATCTTATATATTGCCAGCATTATTTTAAGCTTACCAATGTTGTTCTTCAAAAATTTTTTTAAATAGTTGTTACTAAGGGTCATCTTGCCTACCTGAAAGCATTATGCTTTTCTGATAAAAGGACAGGAGACTTAAAAACAGACCCTGACTAATGACAATTGTGACCTTACGCTGCCTCTGAGAGCTGCCCTTTAGATGTATGTCTTTGGGAAAGGTAATCAGTCTAATGGCTGGCTTTAAGTCAATGCTGTTGTCATGGTCAGCCCTGATAAATAAACATTCACATCCTAGCATCCTAAATTCCCCTTATTCCTAACAGGTCTAGTTAGCGCTCTGATCTTCAGAGTATTTGGGAGGCAGTTTTCCCTTAGTTAAATTCTACTTGTATTACTTATTGTCTCCTAAGCACATCTATTAGTATGTTCTTTCTAGCATCAATTTTATTACTTAGAGTTTTTTTCTTTTTTTATTAGACAGTCATGGCAGAGTTCTGTTCTGCCTGATCCTGAAGCTGTTTAGTCCCAAATAAACACACAGAGGCTTATATTAATTATAAACTGTTTGGCTGATGGCTCAGGCTTCTTAGTGACTAGCTCTCTCTTAATGATTGACCCGTTTCTATTAAACTATGTATTGCCATGAGGCTGTGGCTCACCCGTAATGCTCTGGCATGCTACTCCTTTGGTGGCTACATGGTATCTCTCCCTCTTATGACTGCTTCCTGCCTTTCCTCTTCCCAGAATTCTCCTAGTCTGGTAGCCCTGCTTATCTTCCTGCCTGGCTACTGGCCAATAAGCATTTATTCATCAACCAATAAGAGAAATACATATTCCCATCACACAGAAGGACATCCTCCATCAAGATAGTGTTTCTCTATATAGCCCTGGCTGTACCAGAACTCACTCTATAGACCAGGCTGACCTTTGAAGAATTCAAGAGATCCCCCTGCCTCTGCCTTCTGAGTGCTGGGATTAAAAGCATGCACCAACACTGCCAGGCAAGTTTCTTTTTCATCAAAAGAACAAAAACAAGATTTCCGTGACCTTCACTATATAGACAAATACTGTTGTTGGCTGCCAGCACAGGGAATACTATCCAGAAAGCATTAGAAATATATCTGTGTTGTTTTAAACAAGCTCATGGGCCAGGAGAAGTGAGCCCATTAAAGGTCTGATTTTTTAATTTCTGGGCTGCAGTATTCAACCATTGCAAATGACACCTGTACAAGGAGACACCATGGGAAAGGACAGGAAAAGAGAAAATGCACATGAGCCCTGCCTTAAGCTCTTCCTCCTTAACAGTCTTCTGACTCTTGATGATTCGAAGCTGAAAAGGTCTCTGCTTGCTGCTCCTTTGCATTCCGGTGCTCGAAAATTAGCTCAGGATTTGGTTAGCTCAAAAGTCATGAGGTTGGCCGGGTGTTGGTGGTGCACACCTTTAATCCCAGCACTCGGGAGGCAGAGGCAGGCAGATCTCTGTGAGTTTGAGGCCAGCCTGGTCTCCAGAGCAAGTGCCAGGATAGGCTCCAAAGCTACACAGAGAAACCCTGTCTCGAAAAACAAAACAAACAAACAAAGAAACAAAAAGTGATGGGGTTTTGGAGGCACACCTAACCTCATTTCCTGAAGCCCTGGTGACTTCTAACCCATTAGACCCAGAGTTGAAGATAATTTTCCTAAGAGGGGAATATGAGCAGAATAGGGGCCTATTCCCTATACGATACTTAGGGGTTTACAACAAACCATCTCCTCTTATAGACCTACATCTCCATGTAAGACAGGATGGTTAAGAGGGATAGCTGAAACAGACCAACTCTCCCCCATGACTGGGGCAAGCTGGCCAGGTGTAGTAGTTTGAATGTAACTGGCCCCCATAATCTCATAGGGAGTGGCACCATTAGGAGGTATGGCTTTGTTGGAGTGGGTATGGACTTATTGGAAGAAGTGTGTCTCTGTGGGGACAGGCTTTGAGCTTTCCTATTCTCAGAATACTGCCTAGTGTCTCAGTTCATTTCCTATTGCCTTCTGATCAAAGTTGTAGTCAGCACCATGTCTACCTGCAAGCTATCACGCTCCCTGCCATGACGATAATTAAATGTTTTCCTTTATAAGAGTTGCCATAATCCAGTTTCTCAGAAAATTGGGAATAAATGTACTTTGAGACCCAGCAATACCACTCATGGGTATATACCCAAAGGATGCACACTCATAACACAAGGAAATTTGCTTAACTATGTTCATAGAAGCATTATTTGTAATAGTCAGAACCTGGAAATAACATAGATACCCCTCAACCAAAGAATGGATAAAGAAAATGTGGTACATTTACACAATGGAGTATTACTTCAGTGGTTAAAAAATGACATCTTGAAATTCAAAGGCAAATGAAATGGACAGAACTAGAAAAAACCATCCTGAGTGAGGTAACCCAGACACAGAAAGACAAACACAGTATGTACTCACTTATAAGTGGATTTTAGACATAGAGCAAAAGATAACCAGCCTACAATCCACAACCCCAGAGAAGCCAGGAAACAAGGAGGACCCTAAGAGAGACATACATGGATACCTCTCCCTCCACAGAAAGGGAAAATAGACAAGATCTCCTGAGTAAACTGGGAGTGTTGGGGGAGGGGAGGATGGTAGGGGTATGGGGAGGAGAGAACATGAGGGATAGGGAAAGTCGACTTGGGGGAAGGACAGAGAGGAAGAGCAAGGAAAGAGATACATTGATAGAGGGAGCCATTATGGGGTTATCGAGAAGTCTGGCACTAAGGAAATCTCTAGGAATCCACAAGGATAGCAGCCACAGCTAAGAATGTAAGCAATAGTGGAAAGGGTGCCTTAACTGCCCTTCTCCTG